CATTCATTCATTCATTCATTCATTCATTCATTCATTCATTCATTCATTCATTTATTCATTCATTCATTCACTCATTCATTCAGTCCTTCCTTCATTCATTCATTCATTCATTCACTACCTCACCTGTATTCACCATCCATTCTAGGCAGCGAATGCTGCTGGCCTTCGTCAATCTACTTGCATTCTGATTGTCGCCCCAGCCCCAACACCGATCCCTGGAGGGAAACATAATGCAGTGTAGGATCAAAGACTTTATTGTGCACACCTACCGTATCCAGCGCTATCGTTTGTTAGGTATTCGCCTGCCCCGCCACAGACACCCGTTGGACCTAGTGCACCTATATTCCTGAAAGAGTTGAGACATCAACCACTTAAGCCTGGAGATATTATGGTGATGGAAGCGAGAGTTGCGGGTAGGTGGAGTAGTTTTGATAGCGCATTTAGCTTTGTTTTTGAGTTTATTTGTCATTTCAAAAGGTCTCTAGCCTTCGAACTACATTATCAATAAAATTGTAGACTTCTAGAACATCTGTAAATTTTAAATCACATAATATTGAACCAAAACGCTTTGATGAACTTTTCTGCAAAGCTAATTTAATGACATGCGAGCTAAGTAGTTCATATAAAAATTATTTCCCATACTAGTAAAAACAACGTCTTCCATCAACAGTAAGGAAATACTTTGATAATTAAAATGACACCATAAATGAGAGGTGGGTGTAACTTATCAATTTGCGCGACAAATCTGACAAGCGCTCCCATTAATAGTCAAAAATGTGAAAAATTAAGTTTTCATGTATTGATCACTTTTTCTCTATGCGCTCTTAGAGTTGATTGAACTTTTTAAAGTTTTTCTGAGTTCTTATCGGTAAGCTTTACCTTCAAATCAAATCTGAAGTAGTCGCATAACAAAAATTGCAAGAATTTTTCGTTTGATTACATGTTTCAACGATATATGAAGCATAATTATAGGAGTGCCTCTTCCAAAAGTCGAATGGCTAAAGAATGGAAAACCGTTGCAGAACTACCGGTTAGTGCACGGCATATCTCAAAATTTCTTTACTTTACCTAAATTTTTTTAAAAAAATCTATAGTCTTGGGTATAATAGCATTCTCATGAGGTAAGTATTGCTTCCATTTCTCAGCGAGAAAATTTATGTTGTAAATCTCGAAGTAATAACTTTTTTTCGGTTTACAGAGCAAAAATTGAGCACGACTCCCAGACGGGCATTGTTTCACTGACAATTCCACAAATGTTTAATGATGATGCAGGCGAATACTCGTGTAAGGCATCTAATGCCCATGGTGAAGCAGTTTCTACCGCTCAGGTAGGTCAAAATATCGATCAATGATTATTATGACGTGGATGAGATTACGGTAATAATGCTGTTTCCAGTTGCTCGCTAAAGAACAGTACGATCGTTGGTTTGCCGAAGAAAAGACACGTTTGACGAGGGATAGAAGACAGGCGCAGGTATGGGTATGGGAAAATCGATATATTGATTGGGAAAAATAGGCAATATTGATGCAACAAAGGCTTTAAAAAAACGTAACAACGTAACGATTTTTTTGAGAACTATAGGAATTTGCTTTTTCAGACAAATAATTGTAAAAAATATAGAAATTTAGCGTACTGAAACCTAATAGCTGACTGATTCTTACATTTCAGCAAGGTCGTCCAAGCAGTGTAGCGCAGAAGCAGATGATGAAACAAGGCTATAGTTCAAATGATCAGGATAGTGCTGGGGATACGGTAAGTAAATGATATGTTTGGAAGTCCCTGATTTCGCACCGTATCTTTATCTCCCGATTCACCGATGGTGAATTTAAAAATTCAAAAATTGCTTATGAGAAAATTGCGTTAACATCTACCCATTTTGCTATCACGGAATAAAGCTAAAGAAATATGTCTTCATATGCGTTTTGGTAACTCTTCACCTAAGAAATCTAGTTTTT